AAAGCGGCGATAGGTCTGTCGAGGACCGTGCCGTCTAGTTCAGCGATGATGTAGGCACCTCCTCGGTTCCGAGATACGACGACCATAGGCCCTTGGTATCGTGGACGCATCTTACGGTTCAAGGCCTTCTCTATCGCTGTGTTTCGTACGAGGACTAAGTCCCCTCGTTGAAAGTCGAAGTCTTCGATCGTGTACTGATGCTCTCGTTCGAAGCGTCGCGCAGCCTCACGTCTCGCTTCGTAGACCTTCGAGTAGATCTTCGAAAGGTCCTCCGACCGTTTCTGAAGTGCTATGGCTCGTCGGGCAATCAAGTCGGTAGTGTCGAGTGCTGTCTCAGGTGGTGGAACAAGGTACGTTGCTTCGATGACGTCGAGAGGCAGTATCGGGTGCGTGCCTGTTGCTGCAAAGTACGGCGAACATCCCATCCTTCGACGAGTCGTTACGCGTTCGGACCACAGTACTGAGTGGAAGACTTGTGACCAGCGTGACTGATCTCCGTCTGCTGCCTTGAACAAAGCTTGTCTCATGTCGAAGTGCGAACGTTCGACGATACCGTTCGCTCGCGAGTTGTAGCCACTGATCCTGATATGGTTGATGTGATACTTCTTCGAGAGGTATTCGAGCGCCTTGACCCAGGGTGCGCCGTTGTCGGAAACTAGTTCAACAAGCGTACCCCAGCGACAGACAATGTCTTGATATAGCCATTCTCCAAGGGTCTGAGCCGTTTCTCTTCGAAGCATTCGAGCTTCGGGGTACGTGATCGAAGAACAGCGCGCTTGCGCTATGAGCTTGTAGCCTCCCGAAACAGGCATGAACATCGTGTCGCAGAACGCCTTCATGAATAGTCCGGCTGGCATCGCGACCGTCGGTGGGATGAGGATCTGTCGTAACTGACGCTTCTGACATAGGTCGCACGTTCGAACATACCAGCCTACGTCGGACTTGTGATCGGGCCACCAGAAGCGTTCGGAGACTGCTACTATCGTTGCGTGGATTCCACGGTGTCCGATCCTATCGTGGCTCTCGCGTAATGTTCGAAGCCTTCGCTCGGGTGGTAGGACAACCTTATGCGCGCCCTGACCATTTCGTCTCCAGAGTCGATCCCCGGTGACGAAGAACTGCGTCGCGTACTTGTAGAACGCCTCAAACGCTCGTTGCGAAAGTCCGTCTGGCTTCGACAGAGTCATCAGGAAATGCTTGACTTGCTCGACACGTGCGTCTAGCTTTCGAGCTTTGTCCGAGCGTGGTACTATCGCGTAGTCGTCGTCATCCTCCCCCTTACTGAAATCTTGACCGTCCTCGGTCAACACGAGCACCGCAACGTTCGAAGGGCGGGAGAGGGTGGGATAAGGCTGTATCATGTGCACGAACGAGTACATGTTGTCGATCCAGTCTTCGAACGCGTCGTCTTCGTCGATTGGGTCGTCGCCTGGCTGCGTCGTTCTTCGGGACAGTCCATCCGGTCCGTGCGATGTCCCGGGCACGTGCACGAGAGTGAAGTGAAACGTGAGAATTGAAACAATCCAGCGATTAATGCTCGCACTCGGTGCGATATCAGGATTAGCGAGCATTCCCTTGATGTAGCGAGCGTCGACTTCCACGATCAGGTTTCGAATCCCGATGACATACATTCGAAGCGCTCGAAGAGCGCGGAATAGTCCATAGATTTCAAGCTTTGGTTGCGAGAATCGACGTTCACGGTCGTTGAGCGTGATTGACCCGAATCGGCTGTAGTACCTGCGCTTGGCGTCTTCCTCGTCGCACTGGCATAGGAGGAATCCGACTGCAATGAAGGACGTGTCGACGGCCAGAATAACAGGTGCCGTCGAGTCGTAATTGATCGAACGAAGTGCTGGGCTTTCGAGCAAGGCCTGCTTCAAGTCGTCCTGAGCCTGCTGTTGTGCGTGGCCCCATTCGAAGGGCATATCCTTCCTTGTTAGACGGACGAGCGCGTCGGCCCGGTGCGCGAAGTTCTTGATAAATATCCTGCACACTCCGATCGTGCCGAGAAACGCTCGAACATCGGACAAGGTCTGACAGGCGCCCCAGTTTCGGATGGTTGCGACTCGAGATTCGTCAGGCAGGCGCCCTTCAGGCGTACAACGGTGGCCAATGACCATGATCTCTCGAGCTATCAGCACACTCTTGACTCCCGAAAACGTCCGCCAGCGTAGCGCATTCGAGTGACGATCCGGTTAAGGTTCTGGAAGTGTTCCCAGACGAACCTTCGAATGCCAGGGTTCTGTGGGATGACTTCACCACCGTAGTCGCTAGCCGGACCTTTGAGCGGAACGTCGTCGATGTAGGGTACAGTGTGTTCGGGAGTTTCGGGCTGAAGTATATAGGTTACGTCGTCGTGGAAGATGGGTACTGCATTTGTCCACCCCATAGGAAGCGTAGTAAGTCGCATGGCTCCATACGGTGTCTGGAACGTAGTGAGATCTCTCGAACTTTCGGCGATATAGCGTTCGTCGTAGCCGACATAGAGGTCTAGCATCCCTCCGCACGTTCGTCCTCCGAACTGTTCGGCGAGATGTTCGGGAGTCGGCGGGACACCAGAGTGTTGGATCGTGACTGCGTTGAGAGGCTCGAGACTGTGAACAATCCGCAAGGACTTGCCGTCCTTCTTAACAACACAAAACCATCGCGAACGGTACGACGAGTTCGAAGGTTCGTAGACTCCAGAGTCAATCTTGCGGCGAATCATCGAGCAGACCTCCTTGTACAGACCAGGAGGGATAGGGATGTTCTTCTGGACCCAGGGCGTGTGCGGGATCACAGGAAAGTCTATGGGTGGGAAATATTCGGACTTGAAGTTGCCACGTTCGTTGTCCGACCAAGCGAACGCGTCGTTGTTCGTAGCCATGAAGTGGTGAAGTAGATCGCGTTCGGCGGGTTGTAACAGATCATCGTCGTGCAGCTTATCCGAGACAGCTGCCCTTTCGGCCGTGTAGCGACCTTCGGGCTTGAAAGGAGGTGGGTTGGGGTTGAGTTCACGCATCGTAGAGAGCGGATCTCCCTTGATGTCGCGAACGATACGAAACTGTTCGGGGACGGACCCGAGAACAGGTCTCGTCTTGAGTGCGACCGGCTTGTACTTCTTCTTCGATTTTGCCTGTGCGAATGTGGACACATCAGGAGCATCCTCGGACGAGTCGGTACTGTCGTGGGTATGGCCGGTGCGGGTATACGTAGGTAAGTCGGTCGAACGAGAGAATGTGTTCGGAGAAGTGGTCGAAGATGCATGCGTGTTCGAAGGTTTCGAAGCGTATGACGGGGTATGCTGAGTCGATCTCGTAGCCTCGGTGGCTGTCCTGACTTCATCGAAAACAAAACTGGAATAGGTATGTGGAACGGAGAGATACGTAGCCGCGAGAACTGGGTCTTCGAGAGATGAATGTTGGCATAGGCAGAAATGGACGGGGTATCGTTTTCGAAGTCGATCACAAGTGCGACTTGCTCGTCATCGTCGGCCTGAACTACGTGTTCAAAAGTCCCGACTGCCTCTTCTGAAAAACCTCTTGGAACTTCGGCGTCCTCGAGGCATCGTAGGTACCGTGATCTGTTCGGACGTGTTCGGGCACAACAGGGTGATGGTTTGATTCTCGTCGGCGAAGTTCTTCACCAGGCTCTCAGTGATGACGTCGAATGGTCGACCTAGCAGCACGTCGTACGACGCGCGCTTGATGACGTGGATCTGGAGATACAAGGTGATCGGGCCGACTTGACATGGTACGTTTCGAACAAGGCCGAGCGAGCGGTCACTCCACCGTTCGCGGATTGCATGCTGAGACGATGGTCGGGTCGAACGATAAACCGAGATGATAGCACAGTGCTTCCGACATGCAGATGACCTGCGAACCGGGATCGAGAATGCAGGCTACCTTCTCCTTACGATCGATCGTGAGGTCGATCGTTCGAAGCGAGTGGGACTCGGCCGCGACAGTAAGTTCACTAGGTATCGCGCCTCGAGGCAACACCCTTAGGTACGTCTCGTACGAATCTGGAATGATGGTAGCGTCCGGATCAAGCTCGTTGTCGTGGCAGTCTACTAACGCGGGTCGTGTGTCGGAAGTTCTTCGAACACAGCCATGTTCGTCGAAGTCGGGTTCGAGTCATGCGTCACTCTTCGGGGCGTCACAGCTTCGCGATAGCGGTTACGAAGCTCGGGCGAGATGCTCAACAGTTCCTCGATGGTCAGCGGTACCGTTGGCGTGCTCATCGACCGCTTGAAGACGGACTCGGCAGCTGGGCCTGAACTACAGGTGCAAGATTCGTATACGAGCCGTCCCGGTTCTTAAACTTCGTAGGCGCTGCTCCGAAGTTTCGGGTCGTCGGTGGTGCATAGGTCGCGTCCCGAACATTTGCGAAGGATGGATCGGACTCTCCTTGTCGGGCACTGACTGCGCTGGTGGCGCCGAGGCCTGGACGCTCGGCCTAGAGTCTGCAGGTGGCGTCGAAGCTCTCGGCGGTGGACCGGTACGCTCTGCACTCTTCGAACGCGTGGTTGGGGCCTCGATCGGTGCTGCTTGCTGGCTCGACACAGCGGCGAAGCGAAGCGCACGGTACGCTCCTTCGAAGAGCCTCGGGAGTCCGGAGCTCGTGACTTATCGGTGGGCAAGTTCGCAGGACGGGCCGTGGAACGCTGCGGCCTCTTGTCAATCAGATTGACCGAATTCCAAACACACCTGAACCAAGCTCACATGTCTGAGAGGTGTTTCAGGGAGCTATATGCCATTCAGACAGATTAATGGTACACCTTTCTTTGTGAAATGCCTCTTAACGAAGTTATGTCACGTAAACTAGTTTCTAGGCGCGTCGGGTATACTGTGAAGTCTCTCTGTTCACATTAAGTTCCACTTTGGTAGGCTGCAAACATACCATTCTCGAGCCATCAGACGATACCACGCACGCTGAGACAACATGCGATACATTGTACAGTTACAGACCATTCACGGTGCAAACAACTACTAGTAGTACAGTCCCAGGAATGTAATCAATCAGTTCCACAGCTCTCCGTCCTCGTCGCCGTCATCCGATGCACCTTCATCTGATGACACTGTCGCCGCGCCTACATCTTCACCCCAGTAGGCTCCAGGGCCTGTGTTGTCAAAACCTTCTGGTGCTACCGTAACTCGACATCCTGCTTCCCCGATGTCTGGCCGCACTGCAATCAAACCTCGAACGGGCTCCCTCACCGTGTGCCACCTCGCCTGCACATATTCGCGACGACGTGGAAGGCCTACTGGCCAGATCCACTTGAGGTTGATGAATTTGTGCCTCATGGAGCACATAGGGAGTATCGGCTGACTTCCCTCTGCGTAGTTGCACACAAATGTCGTCATCTTGACGTATGACGCTTTGAGCACGGGTACGTTGGTGAGGGGAAGGGAGAGGCGGATGGGGAATGTAGGCTCCATCCAAGATGGAACGAATGTTTCGAGGGACGGGTCGTACTTATCAAAGCCCATGTCGTGGCCTTCGATTTCGCCAGTGAACTCCCAGTTCAACAGCGGCAGGAGTTGGCGGAGGAAGTGGCTGCTCGGATACTCCAGGGATAACGACGTTTTTCCCGTCCTCGTCAAGCTCCCCTATCAGAGGGACGGAAACGGGTTGGTATGCCACCTGTCCATCGCCAGATGCGTTTGTCAGTACTGCTTCTAGGTCCAAGAGGTTTCAAACTTACGGAAACGTAAACCCACACTTCAACCAGTACCTTTCGCCCTGCCAGTGTAGCGCAATTTCCGGCGGCCCCAGATGGGTCAAGTGAATGGGCCGTGCCATGCTCGAATACAGAGCCGGCTCAGATCCCATAAGACCCACCCGCCGTATTCCACCTTCTTCTCCCGGGCAAGCTTGGCCATAGCGTACCTCGCGTAGATGTCGGGTTGCACACGACTCAGCTTCATCGGACAGTGTGCGTACATCAAACACTGGACAAAAACAACATTAGACAAAAGCACAAGGAGCATGATACGGCACTCACATAATCGAACAGGTACCCAAACGTTTTTCTCTCCAAACAGACCACAGTGACGTGGTTAATAGTCGAGCATATATGGCACCGCCTCGATTTCATGCATACGTCCTCGAACTTAGGTAGGCCGCTTGGTATAGACAGCTGATGATGCGAGGGTCGAAGCGAATAGCAGGGAAGGGGAACATGGTGCTGGAAGAGTGGTGGCCAGTGTTGGGACAGCAGAGAGACGTCTGAGACGCTTTGAAGACGTTTGAACCAGTTCCCACACTAAGCGCTCACGTCGCGATGCGTTCTGTGGCCCTCGGTGCAGAGCCTTCCTCAGTGACTCGGAAGCGTTTCACCGAGCATAAATAGAGTAGATAGAAGATACTTTATTAACCGTACAGCTCAGAAAAACACGTAGCAACTAATGAACCAGAAAAGTCCCATTACAGTGGCAACCAACCAACGTTTCAGTATCCATCAGAATCGAGCTCCCAGAGCGGTTCATCCTCAGGCTCAGAATCAGCCTCGTCCTCGTCCTCTATCCCTGACCCTGAGTGGGAGTCAAACTCGCTGTTCTTGCCCCCGTTGTCTCCGCGCTTCTGTATGAGCTGTTCTCCCCACCTCACCACGCAGCCCTCCTCTCCAGGTCGAGGCCGAGTTGCCATCCTGGGAGACTGGGGCGGCGGTGGAACAACGCTCCAGGCCGCTTCCACATACTGGCGGGGATTTTTAAGGCCCTCCGGCCAGATGATGTCGAGCCCCATGAAAGCGTACTTCATGGAGCACATGGGAGCCGTCCGTTCCTTTCCAGTCGCGTAGTCGTGCACATTGATTGTTTTCTGAATTTCCGACTCCTTGAAAACGGGGATGCTGTCGAGGGGAAGAAGCTTGCGGATGGGATGCTCGTCCGGGTCATTCATGTAGGCAGGGATAAACGTCTGCAACGCTGGGCTGTAGAGGTCGAACGTCGCCCAGGGCTTGTGGGGCGACCCCTTGAAGCGGTTTAGCCCAGGGATAGCCTGGATCAGGAGCGGCTGGGTTGAGGGACCGGGTATGTCAATGACCATCCCGGTGGAGTCTATCTCCCCTATGAGGGGGATGGAAATGGGGTTCTCCCGTTCTGTACGTTAACGCAACGATGTCTGTTAGTACTGGACAAACATGGCAAGACTCTCTACGCACTGCGACATAAAACAGTGCTTCTACCGACGCCAGCCGCCCCTCCCCCTCTCGCTCGCTCGCACACGCCTGGTGCAAAAGAGGACACAACTCCGGACGCACGTAAAAGTCCGGAATTGCACCCATGTAGACCCATCCGCCAAACCTGGCGGGAGGATCACGCAGCTTGAGGGTGAGTTCCATCATTCTCTCAACCTTATCTGGCTCGATTTGCACAGGGCTAAAACGCATGGGGCAGCCAGAGTCGTCGCCCAGAAGACACTAAAGGGTGATCCATGAGACAACGCCTAGCCAGGCACGTTGTGGAGAACAACTCACGTATTCGTACAATTCCCCAAAATGCAACCGCTCCATGCAGATCACCGTGACGTGGTCTATGTTGGGGGAGCGGCTGCATGGTGATGACGAGCCGCAGTAGTACTCGAATCCGAACTCCATAACCTCGCTGATAGTCTTGATGACGCGTTCGTCGACATTGCGGGGTGTAGGCATAGTGGAACGGAATAGGTAGAGAGCGGGTGGGATTTGTTGGAGATCGTCAAGCAGTTTCAGACGAATGGGATGTGTTTGAGAGACTAAGAGCGCCTTCAACACGTCTGAAGCGCGAAAAATCCGTTTGAAGCAGATTCTCACACTTAGGCGCTGAAGCCACACACGCCGTGCTCAACCAGTTCTGTGCCCAGAAGAGACTGCACATCAGTTCAGTGCTTCGGTGCGACTGTAACCTTCCTAAAGGGCAGTCTTCTTATGGATAAACCATCCATCCGATCCGAAAAAAACTCTAGTAGCTCAATGGATTACAAGCAATGGAATAGTAGACGTTACAAAAGTACACACTTTCAGCCCCAGAACATCTCCTCACGTTCTGCCGTTCCTGCAACTTTGTCCCAGTCCGACTCTAAAGCGATCCAGCCCCCATCCGATGCCGGATTGTCACACTTTCCTCCCGCCGTACTTCTCTTCCCTCGACTGCCAGTCTCACCTGACTGCCGGCCTGTCCAGGTCGTGGCCCCACTGCAACCACACCCATGGGATCCGGCATCTGCATGACGCTCCACTGTCCCTGCAGATACTCGCGGCCGTCTTGAAGACCCACCGGCCAGACCCAGTCTAGCTCCATGAAGTCATGCTTCATTGAGCACATAGGCTCCGTTCTTCCTCTTCGCCCGGCTGCGTGATCTATCACGAGGATGGTCATGTTTACGTTCGAATCCTTCAAGATGGGTACGGTGGTAAGGGGAAGGGACAGGCGTATGGGGAACGTCGGGTCTGTCAGCGACGGGTTGAACGTTTGCTGGGACGGGTCGTAGAGGTCGAGGTTGGTGATGGCGTCGTCATCCGTATTCTTGAAGTAGTTCAAATCGCGGATGACCTGGCAAAGCAGTGGCTGCGAGAAAGGCCCTGGGATGACTATCTCCGACCGAGCGGTGTCGATCTCCCCAATGAGGGGGATAGAAACGGGCAAGAACCCATCCTGTGCATCGCCAAAACATGTATTTCAGTATTGCAAGGTGGTTCAAAGACGTTCGCTGCGCACCATGACATAAACCTGTGCCTCCACCAGTGCTGTCCGCCCCTGTTCCCATGCGTCGCTGGGCCTCAACAGAGATAGAGTAGGATGAAACCTGTTGCTCTCCCTCCAGAACTTGCGCAACGCTCCCATGAAGACCCATCCGCCAAACCTCGGAGGGCGTCTGAGTTTCTTCGCGCATTGGAGCATATAAGCTGTCGTTCTTGGAGTCGACTGGATGCGACTGGGCTTCATTCGGCAAGCAGCGTCGTCGCGCATTACACACTATATAGGGGACAAATCAGACTCGAGAATATGACTAGCATGGACCTGTACTACTCACATAGTCGAACAGCATACCAAAATGGTCCTTCTCCAAGCACACCACGGCGACATGGTCGATCGCGGGGAACGTAGTGCACTCTCGCGAATGCTTGCACACTTCTTCGAATCGCGGTCCGTGTTGAGCGAGGATGGCGATAAGAGCTTGGTCGACAGGAAGTGGAGTAGACATGGTGGACGGAGGTTGTGGAGAGAAATAGGATACAGTCCACAGCTCTGAGAGTGGCGTCAAGGAATAAGCCAGCGCCTGGCCTTTGAGCGCCGGAGCCACAACGAGCCACACCGAGTTGTAATGAGTTCCGTAGCTCACAAGACATTCGTTCTCACTTAACAAGTATTACAATGGATTTCGTCCCACTTAACGAGTATTACAATGGATTGTGTAGTAAGAGGAGGTATCTATATAGTACACCAAAGAAACATTCAATTCACTGGGCGACAAGTATACGAGAAACCGAGACACCGCAAGAATCGTCCCAACTGGCGAAGAATAATTCAGTACCCATCAGAATCGAGCTCCCAGAGTGGCTCCCCCTCCAATTCAGCGTCCTCGTCAGACATTCCCTCTATGTCTAAGTCCATTGCCTCGTCTTCTTTTTCCAAATTTACCTCCTTTGTCTGCGCTACCCCGGGCGTTCGCACCACGAACTCGTCCTCTTCAGGCTGCGCCGGCACTCCTGTGGATAGACGTAGTGGGAGTAGAGCGCTTTGGCAGGTATCCTCCTTGTACTGCCTGTGATTTGGGAGGCCCACCGGCCAGATAAAGTCCAGCCCGATGAAGTTGTACTTCAGCGAGGACATAGGCTCCATGGTTTTGCGTCCCGTGGCGTAGCTTCTCACGTACTTTGTCATTACAACATCGTAGTCCCTAATAATAGGAACGTGGTCGAGGGGGAGGGACAGGCGGATAGGAAAGGCGTCTGTCATGTCCGCCGGTACGAACGTCTGGGATGCCGCGTTGTACAGGTCATAGCTCGGCGTGGGCGGTCGTGGGTTTTTAAAGGGATTGAGCCCCGGTATGGCCTGAACAAGCAGGGGTTGTTCCTCCGGACCTGGTATATTGATTGCAAACCCGGTGGGCTCTATGATCCCTATGAGGGGGATGGAAACGGGGAGTAATGCGTCCTATGCATCCCCCAAAGACGTCAGTCAGTAGACGTTAGCTATGAAATCCGTTGGAGACGCACCTCAACATAAAAGAGAATATCTACTAACGCGGCCCGTCCCTGTGGCCCCTGTGTCTCCGCAACGTAGGGAGGCCACTGGTAATTTAACAGAGGACGCGACCGCTTCCAATCCTCGTAGCACTCGGGAACAGCACCCATCAACACCCATCCGCCGAACTTCAGAGGAGGGTCATGCGGCTGATTGGCGGCCTCCACCATGAGTTCCCTGTCTTCTGTATCGATCTGGGTACTGCTGAGTTCCATCGGGCAGACATCCGTTCCGTCCATAAGACACTGATTGAGGGCGAGAACTCAGACAGCCACCCTGGTTGATAAAGTACTGAGGAAGTACTTACATAGTCGAACAGCATACCGAAGTTGTCCCTTTCCAGGCAGACGACTGTAACATGGTCCATCTTGTCGCAGAAGTTGCATGGCCGTGATGTGCTCCAGACTTCATCCAGAGTTGTCGTTACAGTGAGTGCAAAGATCTTGAATAGGCGTTCGTCAACATTTCGAGGCGTAGGCATATTAGGATAGAGGTGTGGGGAGAGGATATGCTTAGGGCAGTCTGAAGAGCGCTGTCAACACGTTTAAAGATGTTGAAACCGATTTGAAGCAAACTCTCACCGTTAGGCGCCTAAGCCACACTGGCATCGCACCCGGGCCCTCCGCCCGATGTAGGCTATTGGAGGAAATCAGAGAGTCAAGATATGGGTCCGTATTACAATTGAGCTGTGGTTTTTGGAGGTTGTGACACTTCACGGACATCGTTGCAGCACAATTGAAATATATAATAACATTTTCAAGCCTACTCACAGCTCGCATGGTATCAGAGAGCCTTCTGAGAGGATCTCCCAAATCTCCACCTCCTCCTGGACGTCAACGTGAGTAATTTCTCTTCCGTCAAGCTGAAATCCCAGAATTTCCGAAATTTCCCTGTCATCCTTCGCTCCCGCCGCTTGAGCCTCACCATGCGCCTGCCCTGTCCCAGCCTCCACCTCCGAGTTGCTGTCCTGAGCATTGGCAACCGGTTGCAAATCCTGAACGGTACAGTCCTCTTCCCCAATAAGCGGTCGCACGGCTACTGTGCCGTCGGAGCTCCCTCGATCTTCGATGTGCCAGTCCGCCTTCAGACATTGACGGCGCTGCGGGACATCCATTGGCCAGACGAAATCGAACGCCATGAAACTCGCCGTCATAGAACACATCGGTACGAGGGGCTTGAGACCGCGTGAATAGTCCCCCGCATCCTCAGTGAGGGCTACGTTCGATTCTTTAAAGACGGGGACATGTTTGAGAGGGAAAGGAAGGCGGAAGGGCACCACGTGCAAGCAGGCGGGGATGAAGGCGTTGGCATCGACACTGAAGAGATCAAATGACATCCCTAGTGGCTGTTCATGACTCTTCCACTCATTGAGCCCGCGAAGAAGCTGAGTCGTAAGTGGTTGGTTGAAGGATATTTCGATCTTGTTGTCGAGTACATCCCATATGAGGGGCAAAGAGAGCGGCGGATGCCTGTCCTAGATTATGTCACAGTCTGAGAATGTCATGAAACATGTTGAATGATTCATTGTGTCTCACCAGCACGTAGAGCATTGTCTCCACCACAACTTTGGACGCTTGCCCCTGAAGACACGTCGGCACAAATACCCCCCCATGGCTCTCCAGAATAGAACCCAACAGCACCCATCCTCCCAAAGTTGCAGGCGGGTCTAGCGCGTCGATCGCGCCCAGAGCACGCCTCAGATCTTGTTTATTTCCTTGAACGTGGCTTAGCTTTGCAGGGCAAAGTGAGCAGTCGTTCATTAAGCACTAATATAACACAGCAGGTGGTTGGTTTGAATCACTGAATAAGAGAAATAATGTACTCACGTAGTCGAAAAGCACGCCAAAGTTCTTCCTTTCGAGGCAGACCACCGTAACGTGGTTAATCTCGGGGTTTTCTGGACACTCCTGGGCATAGTGGGCGGTGATTCCGTAGGAAGGTAGAGCTGGAGCCAGTAATCGAAGCACTCGCTGATCCAAACGGACCATGGTTGTGTTCTGTGCAGAAGGTTTGAAGATGTTGGACCGACAAGCAGGGTGTTTTGCGTCAGGCCAGCTGTAGTGACTGTCTGTAGATAGGTATGGTGCGGCGCCTCTCGGCCGGTATACAAAGTTCTCACTCACAAGCGCTCAAAAGCGGAGAATACCTAAGTCAAGGACTTCTCATTGGGACTACACTACGCGTATATTTCTACCACATAGTCTGATACGAGTACATGCTTGCCCAGTTGTTAATAAAAAGCTTGTCAGCTTTGTCAAGAACATTCTCAGAGGTCCAGTCTGGCGGAACAACACCTTGAGACCTATCTGGATACGCCGGTACCAGTTGGCAAGACTGGCGTATTTGTGATACTGGGATGATTTTGCCTTGCGGCAGACCATCCGAGCGTAGCGGCGGTCGATTGACTGCATACATGAGATGCGTTGGATCAGCTGTACCGGAAAACCGAGTGTACCACTCCACATAGGCAAGTGGTCCTTTGGGCCACCATGCGGGGGCCGATCCGCCTCCTCGCCTCGCGTGAAACTTCTTGGGTAGCGTGAATATAACCTTCACTCTTCCCGCTCGCGTACCTACGCAGTAAAAGATGAATAACTGGGAGAGGTGCATAAACAATAACAATACCTTGTACCCCGGTGGACTCGGCCTGCTCGTTCTCGAGCACAATGACTGTGTCGAAGCGAGATTTTCTCCCCTTCGCAATGGATCCAGGGATGCATTTTACAACGTCTATCTCCTCCCTACCGTCGGACAACTCGCAAGGGCTGAAACGAAACTTGTGATAGACGTCGACACGATCAAAGGGTAGCCAGGTGCGCGCGAATTCGCGTCGATTAAGTCGAAGTTCTGAGGGCTGTAAATCGTTGATGAAGGTCGCCAGGGCCGTGGTGAATCCAGGTGCGCAATGGAGCTCTTGTATCCGCGTAAGATGCTGCTGAGGTGCTGGTGCGTACTTCGCAATTTTGACCGTGCTGCCCACATCCACCAGCTCGGAGTCGTCCGGAGGTCGTTCAAGGTTCTCCGCATCCTCGCCCGGGCTACCTCTACCCTCCGCGTCGTCCATTTCCGCCGCGTCGTCCATGTCCGCCGCGTCTTCCTCGGCCTGCTGTTCCTTCTGAAACACCTCATACAACATCATCTTCTCTCGGCGGCTGATCCACTTCACCATCTGGGGGAATTCGTCTCGGTGATTGGACGCCCTCCACGCATCCTTCGCGAAGTCGATGTGAAGACGCTCAAACATCTCCGTATTGTAGTTGTCCGTGGTGCCAAAGAGACGGATAGAGTCGACGTAATGGAGAAGGGAGTGGAATTTTGGGATGTTGAGGTGGTCGCGTATACCCAGCTTCACCAAGATGCCCTTGTGCTTGTGAAACGTGTTCAGGGCATCTGTCATGTATCCAAGGGTGTCGTCGTCGTGCGTCGGGTACTGCGCGAGGTAGATGAAATCGAGGAGGGAGCGAAAAGCGAGAAGGAGAGACTTGGGAATCTTGCCTATCAGACAGGCCAGGAGCACACGAGCCATGTCCTTGCGCTCTTTGCCAGTGATCTGCGAGAGGGACGAAATACCGTGCTTGAAGTGTCGGATGCCATAGGCCTTGGGAAGCGTGCGCAGACGCCTATCTAGCTCCTTGGAGCCCAGGATATCCTGACACCAAGATACCAGGTGCTTGAATACACCCTGGTAAAGCTGATGCAAGACGTCTGGGGTAATGGAGAGGTGGATGTCTGTGTACGGCAAGTCCACCCAGAATGGTTTCTTGACCCCGCCACTGACGTCTTGCTCCATGCACGCCCCTTCAGCGGCAGAGGCATTGCGGCTGTTCTTGTGGGCATCAGCGATGATTTCTTCGGTAGCGTCTGAGGTCCGAGGGTCCGAGGGTTCCTCTTGCTCGAGTTTGTCAGAGGGACATTGGCATTTGGGACATGTTCCATACTTCGAGCATGTCACTAGACACTGCTCGGGGTAGTCCGCAACGTAAGCCGCGAGGATGGGATGGACTCGCCGGACTGAGCCGTCTCCTCCTGTTACCTCCATCCCCTCCACGCCCGCATGTGCCAGGGGCTTGAGAATGATTCGCATGGCAGCGTGGAAGAGCCGTTGAGACCTCGCCTTGCGTTCGCGTTTAGTGAGCTTCTCGCCGCCAATCTTGGAGACAGGGAGGTAGCCAAGGAGAATACAGGCGTGCTCAGATGGTTTGCGGCGAATGGCGCGGGGAATGTTACCGAGGGTGAGGTATACAGGATATGCCGACTTGTTCCCGGAGAACTGAGTCAACTGCGTCTTGTCCGTGGAGATAATCACTGGCGCAACAGCAGCGCCTTCTGGTAGTAATTGCTGTCATGGGCTTGCCTGTAAGTAGCATGTCAGGAGTGGACATAAAATAGACCGACCTGCACAGAATTCCACCATAGCCCCGTCCACATCTCCGTGAAGATCTGCTTCATTCGAGACCGGTCGGCAAAGACTCGTTTGGGTCGATACACGATATGTTTTGCGTATGATGGGTTGCCAAGAAGTGCCTGAATTGCCTCCAAAATGTCTCGATATCGCACTAGGTGCATCTCATCTGGTCTGTCTGGGAACGACAACGAGGACATCTTCCACGAGGCTCTGTCGGGTATGCTATCAACCCTCATAAAAAGCTCCCGAACATCTTTGAAGGTTAGGCCGAGCTTCTCGACAACCTACAAACGAAGATTGTACATCAGAGCACAACGTATTCAGAGGTATTTCGGAGACTTACGCCAGGTATGCATAAAAATCTGTTCATGGCCTTCTGGCCCACGTCCTCTCGAATAACCCACATGGCCACTCGCCAGTCCAGCTCGGAAGCAAAAGGCCTCCACTTCTGATTTTTGTCTTGCTTCTCCCCTGGCGGTTGGTCATCGCCATCTACGTCCATTCTGTCGTCCTCATCCACCTCCAAATCCTCGCTCTCTTCTCCAAAATAGGCTCTCCACGTCTCCACAATCGTCTCCTCCATTCGTATAACCTTCCCGGCGAGAAGGTCTTCTTCTTCCAATCTTGTGTCGTCTTCGTCGTCCAACTCTGGCATATGGGGGGCCGCAAGGGCGGCCGGACAGGCTGACAATTGGATGAAGACGCCTCGGGCTCTCCGTCGTTCTGAGAGAGTGAAGGAAGAGGATCGTCAGGGAGATCGAACCTGAATAGGTCTCTATTCTGGAGAACATCCAGAAGGTCATCGGGGTCCACGTCCATTCGCCCGGCAGCAGGGTCGTTGACTTGTTCGTTGTTTTCAATAACTTCTGGCGCGAGCGATACTGGGTCTCTGTTCTTCCCTTTATTATACCATCTGCAAGACCTCGCCGTGCTCAAGTGAGCCATCATTCCTTGCGCTGTCCTGAACTCCCTATCACAGGCTGGACATGTGCGCTCATCGGGGTCGCCTGGCCATACAAATGGAGCATTTCGACGGGTCATGCTAACACTGAATACTATTTGTTAGTCTACTTGATTTAATGGATTACGCCTCAGATACTGTAATCTCACCTGCGTCTGCGTGTTCAACCTATCTGAAGATGATGAAGAGAAGCAGCGCTGGCAGAAGAGCGGAAGAAACGTGCTCGTGGGCACGTCGTAGCGTCTGACGCCCATGCAATAATAGACTATGAGGTAAAGCCCGGCCGCGTCTCCGCGTCCTTGTGTCTCACACCCACCTCTATGTTCGATTCGCACAGCAACGCACCACACGATAAGTGAGATATGAACTGCTCTAGCATTGTAGGTGTAAGTAGTGAGGGAATGGCACACTTGAAGTCTTATCCTGTCCTATAGTGCATCCAATACCTTCCTGCCATGCCCACGCAGCATGAGCTCTTGTCTCGTCGTTGGCATTGGTTGGTAAGCTTTTCTTAATATCTGACCTCACTCACCTGTCGGACGAGCAACTAACATGTTCCCGCCAGAGTGGCGCACGTTGAGCAGCACTTGCCTTATATGGTGTTGGCAAGTCGTTGCCAACATCGTTTTTCCCTCTTCACATACGTATCAAGCCTACTACTGCTCCGTGGACATCCATAAAGTCTAAGGTAAGCCTTACCTTTGCTGTTCCGACGAATTTAAAGTGGACGTGTCCAGCAGTAGGTGCAAAGCCTGCAGGTCGGTCAGTTGGGTGGCGTAGGTGAAGAGGACTTGGGCCACGGCGAGCGCCGGCTAAGTCAGATTGTGTCTGTTGTTCCGACGCTGTTCCCGTGCCCGACGTTCAGGCTAACGGATCCTCCCTTTACTCAAGCCACCTCTGATAACCAAGACATCGCTCATGAAGTCTCCTCCTAGCTCTGACACCGACTCTGACAATGGGTCGGCCCGCGACACTGATAGCTATGGCTCCGAACCTGGCTCAGAGCCGAGCGTCCCGGGCTCAGACTGGGATAACACGCAGCCAGGCACCCCCATTGACCCTCAGCAGCCCGCGCACATCGCGCTTTACTCCCCTGGCCACTCATTTGAAGAACGCGACCACTTGATTCTCCCCAGGTCACTGCTTCATGATGCCGAAGGCTCTCAGCCGTCCCTAGTACCGATGTCTACAGGACCTAGTAAATCCCTGTCCGCCGGCCTCCCCGGCGGTATTCCCCCCAAGTTCTGGGACCTGTTGAACAGCGGAGACCTCAAGCAAGGAGAGTATTACAGGCTGCGGGAACACTTCTACGAGATCCGGAAGCTTCAGTTGGAGTGGGAGCAAGCCGGCTGCAAGGGCTTCGTGACCAAGGCAAGCCAGTTACATAGAGAAATATACCTTGACAGCGTATTGACCAACCACTTTAGGATATCACAGTCGGCATGAATGAGCGGTCGTATGCCCTTCTGCAGCAGAAGCTCGATCAGAGTTGGGAATGGTCGCTCGGCGACGAGGGAGAGCATGATCATTGGGTGGCGTTCCTGCGGTGCACACAGTGAGTTGAGAAACACATTGTTTACATGACCGCACCGTTGACCTAGTTGAAGACTCGACTTCTGGCCGACGCTAGGCAAGGCAGTGGCAATCGCACCGACTTTTGAGGAAGAGTTGACCTACCTGATCACCAATCACTTCGCCGAGATGTTCCGCATGAGTGAACCCGAGCCTTTGGCGTCTACTGCGAGAACGTCCGCCAGGAGCATCATCAAGACTCCCGATGTCTATTTCAGCTCTAGGTACAACACGGTGTACAAGGAAGCCATCCAGGGTAATAGCCAGCCCGCCTCAACACCGTTCTTATGCTTAGTCGCTCAGACCGTCGAAGAATTCATTTACAACGTCAAGAAGGTTCGTCTGGTCTTCTTTGTGGCATGGTTGGCGTAGTATCTGAAACAGCAATAGATGGTGTCCATTGTGGAGTCGAAGGCTCTGCATGCACTGCAAGGATTTATCTTGGTGTTGGTCAAGCAGGCGGATGGTGTCGTTGGTGCTGACAGGATATATCACGCTAACTCCTTGCGCCACCTCATGTTTAACCTGCACACAAAGCACGGCTTCGGCGACCCAAAGACTCCTCCACAAATGGAATGCGGCGTCCTGTTCTACGGATGTCAGCAGTTTCCTGACTTCCTGGTGCTTGCGAAGCAAGCATCTACGATGCAGCACTGGGAGAAGGGCAATTTCATGGTATGTACGTTATTGAAAGTTCTGTTGTCCAGCTCTGACGGCACTCAGTGGTTTACGGGGGCACGCAAAGGGCCGCAGGCCGTTCCCAGCGCCGCATGGGAACTGTTCGAGGCGTTCGTACACTCAACAGTGGCCACGTACGCCGCATACGTCAAGGCTACAGGTTGCTACCGCGTCCCCCCATCTCCGACGCAGTTCCCACGCAATTGGAGAACACATACCGCGACTCGCTAGTGGGATCACTCCCACGGCGCATAGCAGGCGATCTACGGGATGATGTGTACAGGGTGGCGGAGCGGATCTGGTCTATGAAGGAAGGCAAGGGACGTACGGACATCCTAGCTGCGTCGGCGCCTTACGGGCCGGAGGGAGTATTCCGCTGCTATCTAGCCTAGTAGTATTTCGAGGTGACGTCGTCTTCGTGCTTGTAACAGTGGAGCTTGTACGCAATGTATCGTGGAATGCCTATCGCTTGGATAACCTGATGCGGAACTGCACGGCAATGTCAACAACAACATGGCCGGGACGATCTGCAAGAAGCGCTGGGTGGCGGAAAGGTGATTCAAAAATGAGATTGCTCAAAAGCACACGCCGCGATAGTCCCCGAGCGCTGTCACCTGTGAGAACAGAAGCGCGTCCGCCGTGTTACGCATGGTGGACGCGATTCTGATCGCCCAGGATCACTATATCTCCACTTCATCCTTCATGACTGTGGGGGAAGTCCACCTAGGTCTTACTGCGGTGGTGTCGGCGGGCGTATCTGCCAAACTTGAAGCTCTAGCCACTTTGGCCGGTATGGAGAGCTCTGTCCTCTTGAACGACGAACTGGACGTCGGCGGCGGTTTCAAACCAGACACCGTTGTGTCTATCAGCATCGGGATGAGTCGCACCGCCGCGGGACACATAGAGTCCATGTCGTCAGAGTCTACCCCTCATGCAGGAAGAAAGGTGAGATTCGTTCTTTGATCAAACAAGGCCACTGACTCCGGGATGGCTCGCAGCTTGCAGACGAGATGGCGGCTGGTAAGGAGGGGGTCGTAGGCACCATTTTCGTCGTAGCCATTGAGAACCGGTACCGCAAGTCTCGAGCGCCCCAGGACCATATCATCAGAGGGTGGAAGAAGCTGGCCGAGGAGAGGGGGATGAGTGATTCAAGGCGATGGGGGAAGTGGGGGTATCGCGGGTGGAACCCGACAAAGGGAGGTCAGAAGTTCCAGTCCTGGGACCTCAGTCGCGGTGCGGCGAAGCAAAACCCAGCCCTGTTGGCCTCGAAGTTGGGCCATCGCAGCACGCCCGGCATCACCTACCAAGGCCACGTTCTGGCAGGATGTGTTGATGCATTCGTCACTTTCCTTCCTCGTTCCTCGTACCCAAGGGTAGAGGCCGCGCTGCAGAACCCAAATTTCAAGTGGACGGCCGAGAATCTCAAGAGGGAGTTCGGATTTTTGGTGAGCAGATATATGTTTCGTAGCGGTAACAGTCTCTGAACTACTACTTCAGCCCATCTCCCCAAACGGGCGGGTAGATGAATTCGTCAACACCTCCCATCATGTGCGCGAGTTCTACTACACAATGTTCAAATCTTTCTTGGCCACCGCTGCGTATGAAGAGGTTGCCGACGTCATCGATTTTGACGACAATCCATTTCAACATCTTCCAGAGCCGTTTAAGAGGCGCGTTGATGTCCTTCTCCGGGACTCGACGGACTATAATGCCTTCGTCGACGTCGACGCAGACCACGCCTCCCGGGAGATTTTTGAGGACAGCGAGGTCTACCGCAATCTCTCACCGGAGCAGCTATGCTCGGCATCTCGCGACATGTCTCGCGCCCTGACTCGCTTCTTGGAATTAGTGGCGGATACCAGATTGAGGGCCATGCTGGAAAACGTTAGCTAGGATATATTGTATATCATATAGTACTACCCCACGCCAACACGATCGACTTGAAAGCTCCGTAACACATACTAGCGCCCACAACCGCGATCGCGCGCGCAAGCATGAACACTCACCAGAAACATCTCTTGTGGCTATCATCCGATGAGAGAGAAGCTTTGAAGACGTTTCTCGGCATGTCCTCAGACCTCCCGCCTCAGCTGTCACCTGTACTAGACCGACTTCATCAAACAGGCGGTTCCAAGGACTCCGCAAACACGTTGGCCTTGTCGGAGGTGCAGCCCAGTTCATCAGATGCTAGCGTGCAAGGTGCAGGAATGCAAGATGCAGGAGCTGAGGTCATACACAGCGGTACGACTGTTCAAACCATCAATCACCGAGGTTGTTATAACTCTTTACAGGACCTTCGCAGGCAGATGCTGAAGTCGGCAGTCGGCGCCGTTCAAACCGCTCCAAAAAGTCGCTGTTCCATAGGGTCTCTCAGCCTACAAAACCCGCCAAACAGCAGCCCAAAGTGGCCGGAAGACGTGCAGATCGCCAACCCCTCTTGCTTCGAGACTGTAATAGAGGTTCTTCCAAGAGAATATGGGTGCAGCGTGGGACGCCTGCCACCAAGACCACGCCGGAGATCACATCTTTCTTTGCCCGTCTGGCAGCTTCCGTCAACTTGAGCTCCAACTCTACTAGCTGGCAGCTCTCGGCTGTTCATACGTTGCTGGAACGTGGGGACGATGGCAGGGGCTTCTTGGACAATTCAATGGCCTCAATCCTACAGAGGTGTAGCCGGATTACCGCTGGCGACATGTGTATCAATTTCTTCGTCATGGTACATTACATGCAATTAGTCTGCAAGTGCTCGAGGTCAGTACAACACCATCCATAGTAATCCCGTGATAACACCAGTTGATATTGTTATGACAGCCTGCGTCGTGTTAATGACCTAAGTACATGTGGGGTCTATGACCAATTTGTCAAAGGACATCCCTCCGCACCGCCCCAGCGAACATTTACGCATTGGAACGAAATTGGGAGCAAATTTGCTGCGATTGCATGCGGTGGCAAGCACGAATCTGTATCTACAAAACTCACCACTAACGCCATTTATTCAGGCACTATATACGCTGTTCTACTCATTGCTAACGCTGGGCTGCGTTCAGAGATTACGAAGTCCGTTGGCGATTTCCCATGGGCAGTGGCCAACATCCTACGGAATCCGAGTCAAAGTAGGTACACATCTTAGAACCTGTTTCAGAGTGCTTAACTAGCCTTGTATTTATGACCGCAGATACCAAAGCAGGTTCCATCGTCATCGAGACGATTATTCCAGCAATTGACGTACTTCGTAAACAAATACCTCTGCAACTGGACATGTTGTTCTCCCCGGGCGTCCTACACGATCTGGGTCTGACTACGGACAGGCTCCATTGTGGAGATCTGGACCAGTCTGATCAAATGTTTGGCTCCCTGATATTCAAGTAAGCGCACTCACTGCTCAGTATTGCACCGGCTGCTGATATATTGCCAGCAATTTTACATGCGTGGAGCGAGGCAAAGAACCGTGGGCCACATGCCTTATTCCCTTACAATCTCGGGAGACAATTCAGCTTACCAGGGCCAGTCAAGATCTGTTCCGCCGTGAATGTCATGGTGCGACTGACCCTCCTTCGCCAATGTCAGCTATGGACGAAGACCACGAAGACCACATGAACTTGGAGGCTGACGGACCAGGCACAATAGATGCAGTCTGTGACTTGCCCGGCACTTCCCTATCAATGGAGGGCTTTGATCTCCGCTTGGACGAGTATTGTACGTATCCGGTGCCTCCGTCGCCGGAAGAAGCTTTCGCATGGACGGAGACGCAGCGATCGTTCGCCGAAGTAGCGCAGAAGCCACAGACTGTCCTAGCTTTGCAAGACCTGGTACGTTGTGCTCATGAGTTATCAAACTTCTTTACTAAATGCCATGGCGCCGGCCATGTATCAGCTATCAGCAAGATACCAGAATGGCCGTCGGGTTGACTCCCGGCAGTACATTGCAGTCAAGCCTGACATCGCCAGGTAAGCTCTCTTGATGTGAGGTGAAGTACGTGGGCATTAAGGCTGTTTTGAAGCGGACCTCTTCGAATCAACGATTGTAATGGGTCACTCGTTGCATGCATATTCGGCAACATGCCGGACGAGATGCGGAGGACGCTGGCAACAGACTTAATGGTCTGCTTTGAAAACCAGCCGGAGAACCTCAAAGATACATGCTCGGCATTGAAGGGGAGTGAATATAGCTTCCCTGCCATCCATTTATCTTGGTATAATCGGCACGGCACAAGGGTTCGTGCACTCTCAATATTCACGTTGAAGACTGCTAATTTCTCAACCTGCCATTTTAGGGCTATGATGTTCCAGTCCAGAATCATCCCATGCTAATAGAGAAAGATGACAACTCGCGTACGAACTACGGTCAAATGCTCCCATATCCGTCTCATGCCATGCGCAAACACGGGGAGATATATGAAAACATGAGGCACATCTTCGAACACGTTTTTGTGTGGGTTGCTGAACAGGTATGTCGCTCAGAAATATCATCCACGCAAACCAAATTCATAGTCACAGATCGAGCAGACGTTGCCCAATGACTTTGAGGATCTCCGCATAGATGCAGAGGTACTGCCCGGAAACGCTAGCCCGATCGTCTACCCATTCCTTTCTCTTGTCATCAATCTGAATGTCGTGACTCTAGCTCACAGAGATTCCCAAGACAAAGCACTCTGCGTTGTGTTGCCGATCGGAGACTTTCAAGGCGGTGATCTGTGCCTATATGAGCCTGGGCTTGTTCTTCCCCTCCGAAGCGGCGACTTCGTGGCGTTTCCCTCGTCATGTATAACTCACTTCAATTTGCACTTTAACGGGCACCGTGCATCACTTGTACTGCATACGGACAAGGAGATAGACAAATGGACGAAGGAGGGACGGAATGGCTGGGCTGACAATCAGCATTTTCGGTAGCATTGGCGCCGTGTACGTTATATCCCTCGGTTCGTACCTTGCATGTTCGCACCGCAATTGAGCCATGTTACGCATGTCAGAGCTTTGCTTTAGCCTTCGTTCCTCCTCATGTCGTAGTGCTCCTCAACATCTCCTGCAGTCCCTCAAAAGCATTGTATTTTTTCTGGGTTCTTCGGCGGTGTCGGACCCGGCTCCCGCGCATCTCCGCGACTCCGGCTCGGAGTGTATACGATGAGTTTTCACCGCTGGCAAATGTTGGACTTCGACTGTCGCTGACGGTCTGTGTTCACGCATCCTCTGCTATTTCCTCTCACAACATGGCGCCGCGGGAGACTCGCTCCGCTGCAGCAGCCAAAGTCTCGAAGCCCCCGGTCAAGACCCCCAGGAAGCCGAAGAACAGTGCGGCGGCCAAGGTGACGTTGAGCACGGCCGACGTTGAGCCATCTGGTCCCACCACCTCCATGAGCTACCTGGAACGTGTCAAGCTCATGAAGGGTGCAATCCGGGCCCAATTTCCAAATGCCAGCGAGAAGGAACTCGATGTGTCGGCGCGGAAGGCGGTTACAGACATGAATAAACGGATGAAGTCGGACAAGGAGCGTCTCGATGGTGAGTATGCTATATTGCGGTGGCAGTGTGATCTATGCGCTACAGGGAGATACAGGCATACAGGGCGCGAGCAAGGCGATGATGGAGGAGGAGGACGGGAACGAGGAGCAGGTTGACGAACTTCAGGCTACGGAGACGGGATCGGACATGGGCTCTGTGGTCGAGCAGGCAGGACCTGTTACGCCGACCAAGGGCAAGGGCAAGAATACAAGTAAGCAAACAACGTCGCTCTTAAGTGCCACTCCAACTGGTCTCAGAGACGACTGGCGCCACTACACCCATCAAGAACGCGCCTAAGAGGAAGGTCACCATCATCTCGGACGAGGAGGCTAGCGACGCTGAGGACAAGCCGGAGAAGAAGAAAGCGAAGACTCAGAGCCCACGAAAGTCGGCGGCGGCTCGATCCTCCAAGTCTGCCGGGGAGAAGAGCGGCGCAGGTGAGTAGCGTCAAACATGTTTTTTGTACGCTAATGCTCGGGGAACCATCTTCAGGTGGGAAACGTACCGTGGCGGAGGTCGTTATCCCTTCTCCACCTCGCAAGACCGTCTCGAAAGCGTCCAAGGATGAGGAACGCTTGACCGCACTCCTCGGTGAGTGAGGAACTGAACATATATTGACACCGGTTGATGCTTGGTCAGGCAGGAAGGGGGCGAAGGGGGCGAAGAAAGGAAAGCCCTCTCTGGTCGTGCCGGAGAGCAACAGTGATGAGAGCGAGAACGATGAGAGGATGGAGACCGAAGACGACGAGATGGGCGGCGACGGTGAGCCCAGTTCTCTTTTCAATGTTGACATCATGCAATGTTGCAGCTCTACCCACAGGGCACAAGGCTCATTCGATCGACGACGAGAGTGATGAGGAGGAGAGGTCGTATAAGATGTCTGCAGGCGACGATGACGACGACGAGGAGAGTGAGGAGGACTCATGGGTGAAAGATGAGGCAGACCCCGACGAGGTAAGCTTATTCCAGCAGCTGAACTGACGACTGAGATGTTCTCCAGATCATTGTGAAGACTGAGGAGAAGCCTGCTCGCGTGCCGAAGGGGAAGGGAAAGTCGAAGACGGCGAAGGGGAAGGGGAAGGGGAAGTCGAAGGGTCACAAGAAGTCGAAGCCTGACGAGGAGGATATTCTTGCGCAAGAGCCTTGGAAGACCCTCGTGGTGCGTGCGCAGCAAGATCTGAGGGCATACCTTGCCCTGGAGAACGCGTGGCCTCGGAAGAGGGGTACAGATGTAGAGAAGAAGAGCGTACCCAAGCGGATCATGCAGGATATTGCCAAGCATCACCCCTCATACGCCCGCAACGCCGAATTCCAGGAGGACTTCAACAATAATTTTGAATTTCACTGGGAAGCACTGGCCAGACAGGTAAGTGTCGCTCTGGGTGTGGTCCAGTACTCACTTTCAACGTTTCAAGGTCATCAAGGGCGCATCACAGCTCCGCCAGGAGGTCAAGCAGAAGGCCAAACGCGTCGTCGAGAAGGAGTTTATGTCCATCAAGCTGTCAGAGGTCGATGCTAACGGCGCGCCGTTGAGTGCCCTTGCACGGGCACAGAAACTTCAAAGTGCGAAGGAGGCCCGCATCAAATGGCTGAAAACAGACGACGCGTTCCATTATGGGAGCCTGGTGCTTCCCGACGCCAACGTCGATCCTGAGGTATGTGTTCCGTCTCCCGTAAGGGATCTATGCTCACACCAATCAGCTGTGGGAGGAGCGGAGCTCGACACGCCCTTCCACAACATGGCCATAGCGGAGGTCATAGCTCTCCAGTGGTGGAGCGGACCACACCCGGAAGCTTTTCGCGGGCGCAACAAGGAGCGGTTCGAGGAGGCGTTGAAACGTATCCCGAGCAACATGATTGCGCTCGTGTGCAGTGCGGTGAGTGACATCAATCACATTGGGTAGGGCTACTGACAGTCTGAGCTGTACTACGTCAGCTCCGCGTGGCCCTTGATGAGGCTCTGAAGGGCAATGCTACGGTCAACTTCGATGAGAAGACGTATGCCCCCGAGTAAGCCCAAGTGGTAGCGATCTGCCAGTTATTCATGGTTCTAACGATGCCTGATACAGGCACGACCAGTACAAGGAGAGCGTTGACGTCGTCCGGGAGCTGGGCAACCCAGAGAATGTGTCTTCCGAGGCAGGCTTCATTCGGCTGGCGAAGTCCATGGACACCAACCTGTCGACCAACATAAGGTAAGTTGGCTTCATGTGTGGGATCCCAGTCTGACAAGGGATCTGTGTTCTTGCAGGGCCATGGCAGGGATTCCCGAGGGCGTGGAGGGCGTAGATGGTGGAACGGGCAAGGGAAAACGACCCCCCGGCATCAACTTCGCAAAGGTGAGGGGCAAGTGGGGGAAGCCCGAAGATGCCTCGAGCGCAGCAGCCAGCTCGTCGAAGGCGGCTGATGCAGGGGGGTCCAAAGCTCCGCTGTCAAAGGGGCCTGAGGCTGGCACGTCCCAAGGTGGATCGTCACAGCCCGTAATGCCCGATGCCGCCAGTGGCTCGAAGGGCGAGGAGGAGGAACGAGACTGAGCGGTGGCACGAAGGCATGATCTCATTGCATGGCGCTAATATGGCTACTTACCCTGCTGACAGGCTACGTCGGTGGAAAACTCCGTCTTTCGGGTTGTCTACGAGAACTGTTGTACGATAGTGCGTTCTCTCCTTTGTACCCGTGGTTCTTCCGCTTCCGCATGTCTCCGTGTAACCTTCCTGCCCGGTGCCAATTTGGGGTCTGTTTTTGTCGCTGTATCTTTTGTCAATCTGTCGTTCATACACTGCTCACGTCCCTTACGTCTTATACCTGCTGTACCTTGTTGTATGGACAATGAATGTGTATTTGCACCCGCATACCAGGGAAAGCCGAAATGAATCAGGCAGATGCTCATTCCCAAACATATTTGAATATATTCAGAGGTATTGAGAGCAGTGGGCAGGAAAGGCGTCGACGCAGGGACAGCTTGTTCAGACATATTCAGACATGTTTGGTGCCTGCAAAAGCAGCCGTCCCACTGGGAATAAAAGCCGGTTTAAATGTGTTTATAGGTGTTGAGAGAGCCCATTTTGATGGGGAGAACGCCCCACTGAACTGATTGAAAGACATATGAGAATCCTGACTGGTTCTTCAGAGATGTTGGAAGCCTTCATAAAGAAGCGGGCATTATCCGATCTTTGGGCGCTTATGTCCAAATGAGCGCTTCTTTCAGACGCTCTTCAGGCAAATCAGCGCTCCGCCAACATGTTTCATCAAAGCATGGTTGGCTGAAACACGGGTACTTGTCTTGAGGCTCGTTTGGTGGTTCATACCAGTTTAAACAGGTTTGGTAACTCTCAAACCACCTCAAACATCTTGGGCTTTGTGGGTGTTTTTTCCTGATGTGTCTCAGACGCACCGCACGTCGTTGGTCTCGTACAGGTCGTGACTAGAGGGGTCCGGGGCTACGCACGACAGCTTTGGCCGGTGTGATAGTGGGCTTGCGCCGCTCGGCCTTCGGAGCGGGCGGCGGGCGCGTTGCTACTTGCGGCGACGCCGCGTTTGTCGACGACTCTTTCGCCTTCGCCTTCTAGAAGGGAATGATCATAGGGGGTGTCTGTCCCAGCAGCTTGGACGGATGTTGCGGTCGGAGGATGTTGTAGTCGGCGGGTCGTCGCGAGAAGGTGGACATCATGGCATGGCGGCGGTGGGGAGGAATGTACGTCGTGACACGGCTGGACGAGGACACGGCGAAGGAGGACGCGAGGGAGAGTGCTTGCGTGCGGCGGAGGAGAGCAACTGCGGACGCCATGGCTGCGGGGTTCGGGAGAGAGGTCGTCGAGGGAGAGGACGGGGAGCATGGGGACGGGGAACAGAAGAGCGGTGTCGGAGGATAGCGGTTGTGCGGCACGTACTGCGAACGAGGCGAACGAGGTTGCCGGAAGTACGGGAATCGACCCCTTTGTCCGCCCTCCATCATATGCGGCTCACACCGCTCGCGCTATCCCGTCGTCGAGCAGGATCACCCCGTATGTGCCCACTATCGCGCCGTCGACGAATGTGCACAACGCACGCGCACCTCATCACACCGTAACCATTCGTGCACTTGACCGGGCCATCTCCCAACGTTGCGCTCGAGGTTTGCTGAGGGCAGACGCCGCCGGAGGTTGATGCAGATGTCCTGGTTGATATGCACTCGCGTGTCCCTGCTGTCGGAGAGAATGTGTGCGTGGCGACGACGAAAACACAAAAACGCGCGCGCTCGTCCTGATGCAGTGAGGTTGAGCAGTCGAGATGGACGTAGGGCCCAGGCTTGGTGAAGGACGACGGTGGTGGTCTGTAACGAGTAGTTAGTCCGCCGAAACCAGAGGAACACTTACTGATATCGGTACGCGACTCGACCCGACTCGTTCTGCTCGACTTGCTACTCGACTAGTGTTGCACACGCGACCGTCTCGTCGCACCAATGGGCCCGAGTCGGGACTGCGAGATTCGAGAACTGGGGAAATTCGATAGGGATCATGGCGACGCGGCATGACGCGGCCCCGTATCAATACACACGAAGAGACATGAGCCATGTAAGCGAGAGTGAGAGACTAGCAGAAGAGACGTCGGCGAGTGGGAGGCGGTTCGAAGGAAGCGCGGCGCGTGAGTGGTTGACGGATCGGGAAGGAATGATACCCAATAAGGAAAGTATTGCATAGCCGCCACATGGGCAACCTTCTGGGTGACGGACGTTGGTTGATTCCCCCTCCAGCGTTGAAACGTTGGCGTTGAACGCTTCACGAACCAGCGTTGGTGTTCATAGAGTAGTGATCGGATGATTCCGTACACACAAATGACATCCCGCCTCGGCGATTCAAGGGCCGCCACTAACCCCAGTCTGGGGGTCCCCCGACGCCGCGCGCGCGTCAAGCATTGTCACACCGAGTATGTGCACGACCACGACAGCGCATCGGCGGACAGCAAGAATGGACTCGACGTACGTGTTCACGAACATCAATCGGCCGTCACCGCTGCAAGCCACCATATGTGTACCGTTGGTCAGCAAGATTCCAGCGCCGAGAGAATACTCGTGCCACTCTCGCAGACTCTCACCAACACATCGACACGCCGACTCGAGCAGCAGACGTGAGTTGCTCCGTGTAGACATGCCAAACACTGGTATACAGGTGTTGCTCAACTTTGCCACAGCTTGGCTGCTTCCGCAGCGGGCAGGCGGGGCTTGAGCACGGCGTGAAACCTCGAGAACTCCGCATAGTACAGCTTGTCCCTGTCACTCGTACTCTCACCCGTGCATTCAACGACTTCTATCCTCAGTCAGCTCTCAACGTCCCACCGACAGCTATCCACGAGCAGCTAGGAAACTCCCAACCGACACGTCACAGACGAGTTCGAACAACTCGTGCCACAAATTCGGACGCACTCCCTGGACAGGTACCTAGTCCGCAGCAAGCTCACAGAGGAGCCCATTCAGCGCATTTGCCCATGAGCATTAGTGAGCCGAGGCATCCATTAAGCCCATGCCATCGAGCAGCCGACGCCGGCCGATGCGTCCTCTTCCGCCTATGGGGTTTGGGCAGCCGGCGGTCTTCTGCGTCCATAGTCATTGGGACGGCCGACGGGTCAGTGTAGCATAGTAATGTATACAGTACGAGCTGTTATTACTGAGCCATCCGATCCCCATTGGGTACCCGACATCGGCTGGTATAAGACCGCAACGGCTTTTACACCTGCCCTATAAGCATAGTGCAACCGACCTCGGATGCATCTATGGCCATCGGTTGGCCGGCGTCGGATGGGTGCACCTTGCGGCCTTTCCTGTTAAGACGTTCGAAGACCGGCGACCCGACGTCGGGTGCCCCTAACACCATAGGAATGGCCGATGTCGGTGGGCCCCATACTCATCGGGCAGTCGAGGTCGGCCGGCCTCCCGCTCCGCCTCTTCAACCTCAGGGCGAATTCATTCGGTACCCAACATCGGATATCTCCATGAGCATCGGGTGGCCGCGGTCGGGCTGCACGATATGCATCGGACACGCCGATGTCGGGCAGCCACACCATCCGCCTTTCCAATGTCGGCTGTCCCCTCCTGCGTCGGATGGGTCGGCTGGCAGGGGGTCCCTCGGTTGGGTAATGTCGGCGGTCTGCATGACCATAGGCCAGCCGAGACCGCAGGCGTAAGCCTGCGGCCTGGCTGCTGGGCACGGTGCGGCCTCCCATTGAGGACGCGCGATCTGATCGGCCTTTTCGGAAATGGCCGCGCGGATCCGGATTTGCCTGGAGAAATCGCAACCGCCTCCGAAGCTCGCGGAGACTGCGATGAGTGAGGCATAAAACGAACGAATATGTCATTGATAACAGCCCTGGGCTCACGCAGGGGCGCTCCGCTGCTCCCGCGAGCCTCCGTCCGTACCTGCTGACTCCGAAGCGCCCGCCCGACGCGTACTCCCTCCCGTCTGCCTTTCGATTTAGCGTTCTCATTGGCCAGCTCCTTGCGCAACACGCTGTCCGTTAGTCGTTGGTGAGTCACTTCCCATCAGATTAGATTGCTGCACCGGCAGAGTGGTCGCTTAACGCGCCTTACATATACTCGCCCGTCCTCCGCACCTCCATCTCTTCCCCCACCCTTGAAGCCATCATGTCTTCCCCGCCCTCACGTTTCAATCGCTCCGACTCCCCAGCTGGCTTGAGTGACCCCGGTCGCGGCACTGCGCGCGGTCCAGCGGCTTTCCTCGCGGCCCCGACGGCCTTTGCTGCGCTTCCCCCGCCTTCAGATCCCGTCGCGGGGGATGGTTTTGCGGCCACCGCCTTTGGTGCGCCCTTCCGTTCCACGCCCTGCCACTAACTACTGACCTACCTTGCGTGACGCGTATCAGGCGGCAACGCTGGTTCAGCAATTGCTGCGGAGCCTGGTTTGCCGGCGCGCGACGCGCCTGAGCAAGGTGAGCGTCCGGGCCCTGCTTCCCAACTCCCATCTCACCCATGTCCAAGGTCCTGCGACTGGGCCTGTTGCAGCGAGCCCGATGGGCCTCGCAGGCGGCGCTCCTCGCGAGATCTGGGATGCGTCGCCTCCTCCGGTTCCCCCGCCCTGTACGGGGCACAAGACTTCCACCAGCAGTGGACCTGGCCGGCATACCTGCGTCCGGACTACAACCGACCCTGGACCCGTGCCACGGTGTCGTTACGTGACCTCCTCCGCACCATGATAGAGCTGGTCCGCGACATGCAGCCGCACTACCACGGCGACTCGCGCGGGGTGCCCGACCCGACGAACTCAATGTGAGTGCCCGGTCTCATGGCTACACCCGCGTACTCATTTTGCGCAGACGAAGGCATGCAACAGATGCAATCCGCGTGGGCCCCATGGTCCACGTGTACAAAATTCTCTGGCGGGAGAGGGGCCCTCCGCTCGTGTGGTCGATGGTCGTCGTGGCGGCGCACCCGGAGCAGGAGGTGGTGCTTTATCGAATCGTGCACCACCTATGGTCAACAAGCGGCATGACGCACGCACCGGGAGCGTACGCGCCACCAGCGTGAATATGCGACATTCTGTACGTATTGTATTCAATATCGAATGTACATAGTGTGGCAAATGCGTCAAAAACGCGCCTGTTCCGGACTCCAAGGCCACCGACTCAGAGGCCGGCATAGTGCGTACGACGTTGGAAATGCGCGCAAACGAAATGCTGCCCAACTTACGGCTGTCAACTAAAAGGCATAAGATTCCGCCTTATGCCGTTCTATCTCGGCGGCGTGCCGAATGCAGTCTCCGCCGAGGTGCAGGCAGAGGCCTCGTGCGGCTTCCGCGCCAGCCCAGTCTTCGAAAATCAGCGCGGAAGGCCGTGCAGGCGCCGGGAGGCCGCGGGCGCTAGCAATCGAAGACCGTGATCCTCGAGCGCTCGCCGAGATGATCAGATCACAGGCCGTCTGAACGGCATGTGACTGGTTCTGATGGTGGCTGCGCGGCCTGTGGCTGCGCGGTTTGCCCATCACTTAAGCCTCCAGTCCATCAACCGGACTTCAACGTCTCTCCCCCACCCCGCACTCATGCCCGCTTCGTCGCGCCCATCCCTCGCCGTCTTCCCGCCGTTCCTGTCGGCCCTCGCGCCCCCGCCTCCTTCAGGCCGTCCGCCTCGGCCGTTCCCGCCACCTCCGCGACGCCCTCGCCCTCTGACGCGCCCCGCGCAATCCGTCCTGGCCCACGCGCCACGGCCTTCATGCGACACCCCCCGCGCCCGTCCCTCCCGCAGCTGCGTGCACGGTCGACTCAAACCCGGCGGGGGCGGGTGTGCGTGGCCCTCGCCCCAAGCCCTGGCAGTCCAGCGGCGCGACGACCCCTCCGGCCGAGGCCTCGCGGCCAGCACGGTCTTCTGTCCGGCCTTCACGGTCAGTCCGGCCTCTCTCGCACCTCCGGCCGTCGCCCGCGCCCTCCCTCCACCACCCCCTCCGTCTGGTGCCGAGGTGACGCAGACCGGCGTGGATGACGCCTGCGTTGACGACCCTCCACCACCGCCGTACTCCGCCGCCTCCATCCCCGTTGTCGACCTGCCGCAGCCCGTCTACAATAGACCAAGTGGCGCCATCGCAACGCCGTCGCGCTCCATCGGGCTGGAGGGTCTGTTTGAGCGGATTGACTGGATCATTGAGGACATGCAGCCGTGGTTCCCCGGACACGCCCAGCGCAGGGAGCTGCCCGCGAA